ATTTAAAATAAATTTATATAAACTTTTTATTGTTTTGCATAAAAATTTTGAGTTTAATATTGGGTAAAAAAGTGTTCGGAAACTTTTGGCGGGGGTCTGTATAAAGGAATTTTTTTCAAATACTTTGATTCAAAAAAATCTTAAGAAATACTATATGATATATTAAAGAAGTAAATTTTTTATAGATTGGGAGAGAGTTACTAACTTTAAATCGAATTAGATATACGATCAAACATAGTCACAAATTACGAATTAGGAAAAAAATAGCTCGTGATTTTGTATATTACTATAAATACTTTCTCCATTACTTTTTTTAACCTAACCTTTTTCTACTTACAAAATGTCCAAGCAATACAAATATAAACAGGCAAAAATAACCGAAGAGTTCATCGACGTAGACGATGAAATTCAAAATAGTACTCAACAAACTGGGTATGCCTGGGAAGAAGAATATAAGCGTAGTTGGGACGTGCTACAGGAAGACGAGGATGGTAGTCTGAAACGAACTGTCGAAAATCTTCAACATCGGAAAAGGAAAAGGTAAGACATTTTGTTTAATATTAAAATAATTATTCTATCTATAAAATTAAACCATCAGCATTTTGTAGGCTTTTTCGAGATACGGCAACGATTCGACGTGGGATAATACGACACATGTTCTTGATCATTGATCTTTCCGAAGCAATGATGGAGAAAGATCTTCGTCCATCTCGATTAGATCTAACTCTTTTATATGCTGAGCAATTTATTCTAGAGTATTTTGATCAAAATCCGATTTCTCAACTTGGCATAATCGTAACAAAGGGAGGCTATGCAGAAAAACTTTCCGATCTGACTGGTAACATGCCAGCCTCTTGCTTTGTAATATTGATGATAAATTATACGAATTAAAAATAACTTTTTTCTTTAATTTTCATTTAATTAATTTTTAATTTTTTTTATTTGATATTATATAGGAAATCCAATGAATAATATACGTGCTTTAAAAAATAAGAAAAATACAGATGCTGACGGTGAACCGTCTTTACAAAATTCTTTAGAGATGGCAAGATCGACTTTAATGTAAATAATAAAATAATAATGATAATGATATAGAAAAAAATAATTGTATTTGTTTAATTCGATACTATCATATTTAGTCATGTTCCATCTCATGGTTCACGAGAAATATTGATCATTATGGGATCTCTTACAACCTGTGATCCGGGAGATATTTACGATACAATAGATAATTTGGTAAATGAAAATATTCGTGTTTCAGTAGTTGGATTAGCCGCTGAGGTACAGATATGTAAACTCATGTGCAAAAAAACCAAGGGTAAGTTAATTTACAAGAATTATTATTATTATTATTATTATTATTTTAATTATTATTTTAATACAAATTCTATCCAAACATTTTTTGTAGGTACGTATGGAGTAGTTCTGAATGAAGCACATTTTAAAGATTTACTCTTTGAAATCATACCACCGCCTCCAGTCTCAGCTACTCAAAATAAAGCGGAATTGGTTATAATGGGGTTTCCAAGTAGTGTTACTGATGCATCGCCTTCACTTTGTGCATGGTATGATTTTGCTAAAAAAATTTCGATTTCTTTAATGTTGGAAAAGTCAACCAACAAATTTTTTACGAAACGGATTTCATCAAAACAGTCATTCAAAACCTACAATTGGTGGCTTCATTTGCGCTCGATGTCATTCAAAAATTTGCGATTTGCCAACGGACTGTCCGGTGTGTGAACTTACACTTGTATCAAGTCCACATTTGGCAAGATCATATCATCATTTGTTTCCCATAAATAATTTCGTAGAAGTTCCATGGAACAATAGGTTTTGACATCTTCATCTTTTTTTTTATCTATCTGTGCTAGATTCATTTTATCAACCCTATATTTCTTTTGTAGTGTATCTTCAACACATTGCTTTTCGTGTCAAATTCCTTTTCCACCTTTATTAGGAGTACGTGGAGGCGCGGTACCTATTGAAAATAGCGGTCGATATAAATGCAATAAATGCCATCAACATTTTTGCATCGATTGTGATGTTTTCGTTCATGAGGTTATTCATAATTGTCCAGGATGTCTGGCAACCATTCATTAAAATAAATAACTATGACCTTTGAATTAATCTTTCTGTTAATTATTCCTAATTTTGGTAAGTTATTTTATTTTATTTTCAAAAGGTAAAATTTTTATATTATTTAATAGAGGAAGAAAAAAAAAAGAAAAAGAAAATAGAAAAGTTTTATTTTAATATTGCAATTAATAATTCTATTACTTAAAATAAATAAAAGCTAGTGAAAAAAATAAGGTTCAATTAAGATCCAATTATATGGAATAACAATTTTATTTATTTAACACGTTAGACTTTTGGCCAATTAGCCTTTTCAGCTTCACGTTTTAAATTTTCCTTAAAGCTTTTCATAAATATTTCTGTACGTCTTGCACTTTCATCAATATATGGAGAAGCTATATTTTTGAAACAACTTGTAAAAAAAATGGGTTCATGTAAATTTTATAAAAATGATACATACCTTGTTCTGATATTTTTGAAATATGCGTGTGCGTTCTCGTAGCGAACCTGTGAAATGCTGGACTTTCTAATAGCTATATATATATTTAAATAAAATATTAAATTGGTTAATTCAAAGAGAATTTCAGACAATATAATATTTGCCTTTTCAGTAATGAATTTAGTTGTCCAGTAATGAATTAATCGAAAAATCATTTTTGAGTAAAGATTTGAGATATTGTTCGTTGAAGTTAGTTCTTTAGGCAAAATAATAGATAATGTATTCGTCACGTGTTATTAGTCCGGAGCGAAGCGAAAGGCTATCGCCGCTCAAAAATTGAGTCGATACGTGATTGGTCGGACTACAAACGGTTTAGTATATATAGTGTTGGATTTTTTTATTTCATTTTTATTAAAATTCTTTAATTCCCCTCGATGTTTTTTATTGGTACCTTGGATTGTGACAGACATTTTATATAAGAACCAAGGAATTTGATTGAAATTTAATAATTAAAACAATATAAATTAAATTTGTCCCGCTGATGAATATAATGTAATCATTAACTAACATGTGTCCAATATTGTAAATTAACAATACACAAGACTTTTTTTCTGTCATGGATATGCGGAATTTGAAACGTGAACTTTAAAATACATTGTGGTCGAAATATGAAAAGGGTATTGGTCGATTTTGTACAACAGAAAGTTACTGGAGTTTGTTTAAGGATGTGCGTCTTTGATTTTTTTTTTTTTGAACAATTCGGCTCCCTTTTTATTTCCCCTTGAAATTCAACACTGGAACGAAAAAAAAATTTATACTCGACTTTTTTTATTTTAGGTTCCAAGAAAATTTAAAATGGATTATAAAGAAAGGTTTGTGAAATTTTGTTTTGCGATTGATTACATAACAAAAAACAAACAAATAAATAAATAGGCCACAACCAGAGGTTAACTAAATTTCTTTATAGACTTGCTCAATTCGAAGATATTCTTAGTATAAAAAATATATCTACGGAACCTACTATAGACCTCTATAAGTTTCGACATTTATGTTTTCGAGGTAATTAGCAATTCTTTTTTTTATATAGTTTTAAAGAAAATCAAGAATATAAATTTATCGATTTTTTTTTTTAAAAAAAAAAAAAAAACCTTCCTTTATATGGAATTTGGATTGATAGGGATTCCGGATAAACCTGGTATTAGACAATTAAGTTGGAAGGTAATTTTTTTTTAAATTTGTGACGAATCTTTTTTTATTTTTCCCGATTTAAATTCATCACGTGACATGATTCATTAGATTTTAATAGGATATCTACCACCCGATAAAAGAAAGTGGCAAAGCACGCTCGCGGAACAAAGGTCAACTTATTATGTAAGTCACAATGAGATTTTATTTATTTCTATATATTTTAATCACTTTTTAACTTAAATGAATTTCCTTCAAATAATATAGAGCTTTATTAGGGATTTATTGGTAGATCCAAGTGAAGAAGAATTAAAAAATTCAAATGAATCGACAGATGATCACCCATTAAATTCTTCACCAAGTTCAAAATGGGCGGAATATTTTGCAGATAATAATATGTTAGAACAAATAGATAAAGATGTTAGACGTACATTACCAGATTTTGCATTTTTTCAATTGCCGGTACCGCACAGTCCATTAAGTCCTCTCAGTCCTAAAATTGAAGCAATAAATAGAATGAATGGAGCTCGATCACCTTCTATACTCGAAACTTTAGACTTTGATGATTCTGTTAGCATAAGTAATTATAGTGATTCTATATTAACTACGGCTTCAGAATTAGATGCAGAAGTTGCCGTATTAGAAGCTCAATTAGCAATAATTTCTAATCCATCATTACCGTCGGCAAATGGAATTCTCAACAGAAATATTTCAACTATGTCTAGTCCAAAACCGGTTCCGCTAGACTTATACTATAGAACATCATCTCCTCCGCCTGTTACACCTATACCAACTCGTAGATCTATATTCAAACGTGTACAGCATTTAAATAAAGATTTCGGTATGAGAGGAAATAGTACAAATACGAGACCTTGTTCTCCTGCTTCAAGTTATAGATCAGATGGATCAAATGTTCGTGATGACGATGGCGAAGTTGATTTACATTGGGAAGCCATTGAACGTATATTATTCATTTATGCTAAATTAAATCCTGGTGTTGGTTATGTACAAGGCATGAATGAAATATTAGGTCCTATTTATTATACTATGGCAAATGATTCTGATGAACAAGGAAAAGGTTTGTCTTAATTAAAAAGTTATTTATCAATCTTGTGGAAGCTTTCAAAATCTTAACGCTTGGCCATTATTTGTAATTTGTTATATAGCACATGCTGAAGCAGATTCATTCTTTGTGTTTACATTATTGATGGCACATATCAGGGATCATTTTGTTAGAAGTTTGGATTCGGATGAAGCAACTGGTATTGGTCATACCATGAAAAAATTAAACAGAAGATTAAAAACTTATGCACTTGATTTATGGAGAGATTTAGTAAGATACTGGTATTCTTTTTTTTATTTATTTTGTTTATCACATAGGAATATTGATGTTTAATCTTGTTTTTTATTTATAGGAGATAAAATCTTTGTATCCAACTTATTATTCATTCCGTTGGTTAACAGTTATGTTGACGCAAGAATTTGCTTTACCCGATGTTATTAGATTATGGGACAGTATTTTAGCTGATCGTGATGATGATGATGAATCGACAAGTGGCTTTGAATTTTTATTAGATTTTTGTTGTGCTATGTTAATGTAAGTAAAAGATTAAACTTTCCATTTTAAAATTAAATATTAAATACTTTTCTTTTTAAAATTTTAGGTGTGTTCAAGATGAATTACTAAGAGGTTCATTTTCTGATAATATCAAGTTATTACAGGTAATAAATTTCGTCCATCTAAAACTTAATTATGAAATTCTTTATTGACCAAAAGTATAATAATGATAATAATAATATTGTATGTAATAAAAAAAAAATAGAACTATCCGATACAAGATCCAGCAATAGTATTGCGTAAAGCGTATTCATTAAGAGAATCGAGATTATTAGCAAAATTAAATGGTGAAGAAGATGATGAATTAGATGAAGATTATTCTTACATAAATTCCAATGGGGAAGATTTTGGTTATTATTCATCATCAGGTAATGAATATGAATATTATGATAGTGATGACCTTTCCCTTGGAGAAAGTATAATCGAAACTACTAGTGTGTCTTCTATTGAGACATCTAGTAATGATTATCATCAGCATTCAATATTTATGATACCTTTTATTAATTTTGCACAATTATTTCGTTATAAAACAAAAAGCCACGGAACTTTATAATACGCAACAATCAACAAATCACAATAATCATTATCTATTACGTGCTCAAGAGGTTAAAGTGAAAGGATGGGCTATGTTAAGAAAAGTACAGGGTGTCGTATCTGGTCGTAATAATATTGCATCATCAAATTCGAATACTTTTTCAACAAATTCGACTTTCTCAAGCTCAAATATATCAACTTTATCGTCACAATCGAAAATTAATAATGAGAAAACATCAACTACATCAACATTATTATCGAATTCCTCAGCAATTGGGAATGGATTTAAATCTTTACCTACAATTAACAAAGTTAATGTCAATAATGGAATGAGTGGTTTTTCTAATAGATTTTCTAACGTTTGGAAAAAAAATATTACTTATAATGCTTAAAAATAGACTATTTTAATTAGCTTTTATAATTTTAAAAAAAAGTATATCATATATAATTTTATAATTTATTATCGAGGTTGATTTTTCTGTGTACGGATTATTTTATTACGTTATTTCTTTTTTTTTTTACACATTTAATTTTCTAATCTCTCTTTTTTTTCCTTAATCTCTTTATATTAATAATATACACATTTATATTATTATTTTTTTTTTTTTTTTTGAATTGTAATTTATTTAGATTTTTGTATCATCAGTTTTTTTCTATTTTGTATGATATTTATTTATAGAATTTCTTATATTTATTTTAATTTTTTTTATTTCATATATTGTATTATATTTAGCAATCAGAAATAACAATAAAGGTAAAAACACAATTCACAATCAAATCTTTATTTTATTTTATATAATAATATTTTTAATTCATAAATATTAATCATCAATCAATAAAAACAAGATATATCAAGTACTAACCCAGTTTCAGCGATACCAATAACATTCCTTCCACTTAACAAATCGGATAACAACTTGCTTAAATAGGCCTTGACTTTTGGAATTTATTCAAAATGATTAAAATGATTAAAATGATTTTGATATTTCCAATTGTATAATGATATGATCAGTTTAAAGATTAAATCACCAGTGATTTTGAATTTTATTTTTTTATAAAATTCGTTAACATTAGATTGTACAGAAAAATGATAATAAAAATATAATTGTTATTTTTAAAAGTATAAACAGTTTATATTCATTAAAATCCATTAAATTTTAAAATTTAAATTTAACCCTTAAATATAATATATTTAAAAAGTATTAAAGATGCTTAGACTAAAGAATAAATAAAATTTTAAGCTTTATTTGATATTAGATCACTTTACAACTCGCACTTTTTTAATTCTGTATCTAATATGTACAAATCATGTTCTGGTAGGATTTTCTCTCCAGCCTTGATATCAGGATGCCATACATCAATCTCTTGATTCAGGAGGGGTGGATAAACAACTTCTTCTACCTTGCCACTCCAATCAAAATCTATGATCTTTATTGAATCATCAGGACTAACCAAGATGTTTGAAAGCCTCATACTCCATGTACAAAACCCAAATCATGTATTTTTTTTATTGACTCTATCACTTTATTCAATATTGACATCAAGCGAATTTTGTCCTGATCAAAATAAAATAATAAATCGTGTTCCATTAGTTGTTCCATAATTACAATATACCATCCACCAGCAATCTGTTCACAGAAAAACAATTTTGGTGCAATTCCTAATGCTTGACATTTTTTATGACATGCTTCTGAATATCTCTTGGCAAACTTGATAATTACATGTTGAGATGATAATCCACCATTGTATTCCATTATTGCTTGAAAAACATAACGATTTTCTATCTACTTAATATAGGTAATGTTGGCAATAATCTCTCCAATTCACTTTGTTGATATATGGGAAGGATGGTTGATAACCTGTAATTATTTGATTATGTTGACTCAACTGATCATAAAATTTTTCCAAATTGGTAAGAGCTATCTTCAAAGCCTTGACCACATAAGCAGTCTTTAATAGTATGTCTTCATGATGAAGGAGATAGAAGAGGAGCATAACAGGTGTGAGAGGTTCACATACAGGATTTTCCAGAAACACAACTCCAGCTACACCCATATATGATCCTGCAAAATTAAATAGAATTGTTCAAAAAAAAGAAAAGTGAATATATATACAATTATAAGATGATTGTAATTGAATTGATAGAGATGTTACTAGAAATATATTTGAGTGAGAAAAAAAATGCTATCTATACATACCTGCCAAGTACACTAAAAATACTGGAAATCGAGATTGAGAAATTGCGGGCTATTCTGAATTTTTTGATCAACTCTACATACTAAGCAGTTGACTGAACATATGCACATCCACTTCCCATTCCAAACTCTAGCTTTACCGCTAAGCTCAACAGAGACACTTGAAAGATTCCTTTGGTAAACATAATGCTACAATCTGTTGCTCGATTATTTCCAAAATCATAGATGTCAAACACTCCTGTTGAGATATGAACCCATTAGTTCAAGAAAGCAATTTCTTCTTGTATTCTCATCTGAAAAAAAGGAACACATCATATTTGAGAGATCACGAACAAATATAATATCATCTTTGTTCAACTCAATGTTTCCCTTGACATCATCCTGAAACTTTGCTAGGATGTCACTGCAGAGTGTTACAGGCAGACCAGCTGCATAAGATGGACGGTAGTTTAGGATGAAGGAATCCTTTTCATCTTGGTAATCCTTAAATCTTCTAGTATCAGCTAACTCAGATGGAGGAGGATAGAAATGTTGGATTTTTTTTAAAGAAATGACTTCTTTCTTCAGTCAAGTCCTCATCACTAGCACTTCTTTTTTTACCTTGATTCGATAATATGAATGAAACAGGAAAATAAGATTTTTTTATAATTCAATGATTTTGATAAGTTACCTTTATTTTTTGTTTCATGAAAATATTGAATAATAATAATAACTTTGTGAAATGGATAAATTATACCAAAATGCAAGATATAATAACAAAAACATACCTGTTTAAAATGATATGATAAGAGACTAATATTAGAAAAATTATATAATATTGAATAAAAAAATTGTAAAAGATCAAAATATACCTTTATTCAGTCCTATTGAAACAAAGATAAAAAAGTATAGGTAAGTTAGATAGAAAGGTAAAAAAATATATATCCCATATATTTAGTGAAATGAACATGCGGATTTGAGATTGTTCATAATAAATAACCAGATAGGTAATATTTTTCATTTTGTAAAAATAAAAAGCAAAAATCAGTTAAAATTGCAAAAATTATACCAAATAAGTAAACGAAAGAAAAATAATTTTTTATATATTTTAAGCAAATTGTTCGTTACCTTTTCCTTCACCGAAATCAACTAATAATGCATCCCGAAATTTCTTGACCTGCTCCCAACTATCATTCACGTCTTTCTTCAACTCTTCCTTTTCTTTCTCCAATTCGTCTCTCTCCTCTTCCATATCTCCTAAAACCCCTTCCAAAATTTTCCTTTCCTCCTCATCCTTTTCACTTCTTATCTGACTCTTCAACTTCCCCAATTCTTCTTTACTTCGTCTAACCTCTCTTCGTCGAACCTCTTCAATTCATTATTCACCTCTTCGTACTCTTCTAATTCTTGTAATAGTTGTTCAATTATTTCGTATGTTGTCATTTTTAAGATTCAAAAAAATTTTTAAATTGAATTATTTTTTTTTTTGTTGAATTTATGTTTGTTTGATCAAAAAATTCTCACACGTTAACTCGCGTGACGTAATTGTGGCTGGGCAAATCAACATCAAAAAAATTTGTATTATCCCGATTTTTGGGTTTCCGGTCATTCTTTTTGATTAAACTAGATTGGCACCTTTTTATAAGTAAAATAATTTTTCAAAATAAATTATAGAACAAAATGAATGAATTAAATGACAAAAGTCGAACGCAGAGTTCATGACTAGAGATGAAAAGTCCTAGAGCGCCGAACTATCACTTTAGACCAAAAAGTCTCGGCTTGTCACTGCTTTTAGCACGTTCGTTTCGGGTTTTAACTTCAGTCCCTATTTATTTTCTTTTTAAAACAAAATCCCATTAAAGTATAGCGTGTTGATTGAAGTGTCATAAACTGAATTTGGTTAGTATAGCCAATCCAAATTTTCTTTGCATAATCAATGTTCTAATGATTAGAAAAGCATGAATTGTAAAATGCGCCAATTATCAGATAATAGTTGCAGCATGCATTAGCTAAGTTTCAAAATTCATACTACAACCAAGTCTTAAAGTCATGATTCTTTGACGAAAAATTATTTAATATAATATTTATTACAAGATATATCATGATTAGGTATTATAATAATTGAATCTATGAATTATAATCCAGTAAAAATTGAATGGCTCTATTAATATCATTATCGGAAGAAAGCAGAGCTAGCGTAATAGCTTCTTGAGAGCTTTGAGGAAACATATCTCGTAAATTGGCAATGTTATCTTCATTAATAGCTGGTTGCTGTAAGGTTTAAAAATTAAAACAATTGATTTTGAGAATAATAATAATTTAGATTTAAACTTTCAACTTACTCGTGTTACGTGTTGAGAGGGCGCTTGCGCTGGAGCATGACGTCTAATGACTCGCTCTTGTTGAGCTGCTTGTGCATGATCAAGTGCAAGAGAAGATGAGCGCCCAGGTGGAGGTGTTGATAATAAAGGTAATATAAATCTTGAAAAGAATCGGCTAATAAACCCTGGAAAACGAAGTTTATTTAACTTCAAAAATCCGCTCCTATAAATAGCTCCGACTAAAAGCCCGCATATGCTGGCGACAATCGAGGAAGGATATTGAAAATAAAGAAACTATAAAAAGAATTATTTTAGTCAAATTATAATCAATCAAAAAGGTTTTTAACAACGCTTAATTACTAACATACCGGTATAACGCCCAAACAATACATATATCCAAAAGCTCGATATTGATAAGTAAATGGTATTATTCTATTGTACTGATAAAGTGTAGCAAAAATAAAACCATATGGTCCTGCGGGCATGAATGTTACCCCAAATCGCTTGCCAATTGCAAGCGCACCAACCTCAAGAATTGTGGATAACGCGGACGATACGAACAAGAATGCCTGTAAGCGTTGACATTGTTAGACAAATTCAACCATACAGAACTTGATAAGTTAATATAAATTATAACGTACTGCATATTTTGACGATCCGAATTGGCGTTCTATTACTCTAAGATTATACATAACTATACTCCCAAAGAAAAATTCTCCCGATGTAGTCAAGATACTATGTGAAGTTATTAATCGCCATAACTTTTTTTTTTTTTTTTGTTGATATTTAAAAAAAATTAGTTTTGAAAATTTCAAATGAGACAGAGATTTAAAATTTACCTCATTTTGTGTAAGCTGTAAATGAAATGAGGATCTAATATCAAGTAAATAGGCAGCTAATGAGCATCCTCCTATACAAATTAAGAGACCTTTCGTTACCGGTGCATTGTGAAAACCTGAAATGGTAAATCTTTGATCGTTAAAACTAATAAAATAGAGAATTAATAAACCAAACTTTTGACTGACCTGTTTGACTCCCGGATGCTGTAGACATATTTTTTATCGCATGTCAACAAGGTTGGATGAACGAATTGACATACTCTATTGTTATATATAAATTTTTTAATTTAACACGTAAAAAAAAAAAAAAAAATTTAAAAAAAAAAAAAATTGCATTGGTCCTTTTATAGTAAAATAACATGTACTTCCAATTCATTGGTTTTATAACGTGGATTTCTTGCATTCGTCATTTAATTCTTATAGTTTATAGTAAATTTCCCACAATTAAAAATCCGGAACGTCAAAAAGATCTTAGGTGGTACATTTGAAGTTAACGTATTGTACTACCTTCACCGCCAGAAATGTGACATTTTGAAAAATTTTGTCAACTATTTCCTTTTGGGCAATTTTAAAAATGATCTTGTTGGACTATCATAATGTTGTAATAGAAGAGACGCTGACCCAACCGATCGTGAAGTGAGTCACTCTTCAAAAAAGTTATTACATGTTTTGGCGGATCGTATTTATTCGCATCTAGTTGAAATTATTGAATAAAAGTGTTTTATTGTTCATAGCGTTATTCCCACAGCCTTGGATATGATTGTGGTCGATTTCGATAGCGTGTCTTATCATATTTCGACTTCAGAATCCACTTCCGTGATTAAATTTTCGATCTCAATGCAATGTTACAAAGAACTTGTTCAATGGGGTGCTCAGGATATGTTACAAAGAGAGTATGGTCCATATTGTGTTTCTAACACAGAGGAAGGTTATGATTTTACTTTAGAATTTAATTTACAAAATCTTCCTGAAGATAAAGGTTAGTGATAGTAAGAATTCTGTGAATTTTATTTTTATTTTATTTTTATTTTTATTTTTACTTAAATTAAAAATTATGAATAACAGAACAAAGGGAAGGATTAGTAAAGAAATTAGCTTTGATTAAACGTAACCTTTTGGCTCAACCGTTTGAACGAGCGTTTGAGCAGCAAGCAAAATTCGAAGAAGAGAAACAAACCAATCCAGTGTCTGATCTCATGCAAATTCATTATCGAGATCAGGAAGCTATTTATATTCAAGCTCAGCTAGACAGAGTTACTGTAATCTTTTCTACATTATTTAAAGAGGAGACGGATAGACTATTCGGTAAAGTGTTCTTACAGGTGCGGATGCATTTGAAGTTCAATGAAAAAAATATAGATTAAAAATATGCACTGACAATGCACATGATCCTAGGAATTTGTCGATGCGCGTCGTCGTCCAAATCTACAAAATGCTCCTCAAGTACTATATTCGAGCAAGGAACCTCCATTGGAAATTAGACATTTGCCAGAGTTAAAAAATGCAAATAAAAATGAGGATATTGGTTACGTCACATTCGGTAATACGCGTTTTATTTAATTAAGTGTATGACAGTCACTTTTTGATTAATCTTCACCTAATTGGTTTTGTTTGACCCCATGTTAGTTTTATTTCCTCGCCACTTCACTAAAGGTGATGTGAGAGAGAAAACAATCTCTCAAATTCAATTATTCCGAGATTATCTACATTATCACATCAAATGTTCAAAGGCTTACATGCATTCTAGAATGCGTGCTCGTGTCCAAGCGTTCTTGAAAGTGCTTAACAGAGCCAAGCCGGAATTACCAAATGTTGAGAAAAAGACAATCACGTTAGTTATCCTTTACATTTAACTGGTAATTTGCAGATACTTAATCAATCGTTTTATTTATTTAACTTTATCATTTTAGAGGAAAGACTATGGTCCGAGCTTAATTTAAAAAACTGAATAAATAAATAAATAATGTTTATAGATATTTATATCACTCTTGTGGTAGTATGACGAAATTTTTTAGTCAATAATTACAGTTCCGTACATATTTACGCAATATTTTTTGTTATTGTACATGCTGAATTCAGTCATATTGTCAATAGAATTTCCGGAACGTTTTTGCCGGAGTGTTTCTCCGAATGTTATTCAATGACTGATTTGGAAATTATAAAACATATATAAACGGGCGTTCATCATAAGCCTGAAAAAAAACAATAAACGCTTAATATTTATTCATGGAATTAAATTATCTAGTCATCATTGCAATTTGTGTTGTTCTTGGGACAGCGCATTATTTAATCAGACAACGACATCAACCTACTCAATGGATCATTCGCGATGCGAATAAAGCTAAACAAGTACTTAATAACTACGACACTGCTTCTCGGGCAAGGTCAAATCAGAGATTGCATTTTACTTTTGGAATTTCAAATCCCTTTACCAATCCAGATGATAAGTATCGTCACGAATTCCGTAAAGTTATTGCTAAATCCATCAAATTGGATGATAAAGAGTGGCAAAATATTAAAGACATTGTTCTAAAAACCGTAAACGATTATACTCATTTGGAAACGAGTCAAGATAGTGTCGTTGTCGAAATTGTTCCATGGATTCAGCAAATAACGTTAAATGTTGTTCTCCGTGGTTACTTAGGAATGACGAACATTGACAATGTTATCGATGAAGTTCCCAGCATGATCAACAACCTTTGGCTCATATCTAAAGAACTCGATTGCATAACGGCAAGACAGGACGAAAATTTGAAATTCATGTTGAAAACAAATTGTCTGTTCAAAGATCTCTTCAATATGAAAGCATCGTCAAGACCTCAACATAAAAAGCAAAATAAGACCCGTAATGTGATGGAGGAAATCTCAAAAATAGCTCGTTCTCGTTTTCCATGCGCTTTTAATAAAGTACCCTCAAGTGTTGCCGACGCAGCCGATCTTTCCGAATTAAACAAAGGATTCCATAATCCTTCAGGCGATGACTTGGTAAATTCTCTCAATGTTATAATTCCCGCGTACGAAACAATGTGGAGGGTTGTTCTTTACGCTATTTTAGAGATCAAGATACGCCCCTTATTGAGAAACAAAGAAACCACTGAAGGGATTTATAATACCAACTTTGAAAATCTCGGTAATGCAGTCAAAGTTTTTCTGGAAAATCCAAAACCTAAAATACTGAAGCATGATTCCAGAGTTACTCCACTTTGGCATGTTATACAAGAAACCTTGCGACTTTATCCTCCAACACGACATATTCATCGGGAAAAAGAAGGTCTCAAGGTTACCGTCGATGTGGAGGCAATTCATCGTGATCCCAAAATTTGGGGTGAAGATGCTCTCTTGTTTAAGCCTAAGCGATTCCACGAAAAGCCGGAAGAGGCTTCATTCATACCATTCTCGACTGGTTCTATGAAATGTGTAGCTTCCGAAACATTTGCCCCAACATTTGCTGCCATTATCATCTCAGCTATTTTAGATCGCGTGAACAATGTCGCTCTGAATCAAGAAACTAAAGGAACATTATTTCAGAAAGAAAATGGTCCTTTTGAAAATAATCGTCGTGCCTTTGACAATGTTAAAATCAAAATATATTGAGCGCGCGTGATTGTGTATTATGTGACATATCCCTTTAAAACATTATCCTAAGTTTAAAAATTAAATATTATTAAATTAAATTTTTTATTAAAGGAAAAAAAAAAGAATCAAAAAACATTAAACAAACAATATAAATAGAATTATTTATCATCCTTTCACTTCCCTTATATATTATATACAAAAATGTATCAATATTATACGTAAATATTAATAAAGCTATTAGATCAATTTCGTCGATCATTTTTCACATGTTATTAAATATCGTATTATTAACTTTTCTTTAATTCGTAATTCTCTTACCAGAAAAGACGGGCAATTTTTGCTTTTTAAACTCAATATGGACTGGTAATGTTATTTCAATTTGTATCAACCAATTTTTTTTAATTAACTAGCCTGATTTAGATAAATTTTAACTTTTTAGAAAAATCAACAAAAATTGATATCAATATTACAGCTAATTTCAAAAGTTGCAAGTTCAATTTGTCTCATTTGTTTATGTCCACCTGTAGAAGTTTTAAAATACATGAAGTCCTTATAGAAAAAAAAAATATTCGTGGCGATTTTTGGCGCTAATACTGTAATTTGATTGGCGCCGAGAAATTTCTAATCATTTGATTGCCACGAACAATCCGACAGTGCCGATAAAAAATTTACACGTCTCGCAACTTTTGAAATTAGCTGTAAAGTGATTTTTTTTTTTCTACGCACCCGATCATATATAATTTTTTTTTAAAAATTGAATTACAACAAAAATAAATGGTTTTAAATGATTTTTCTAAATACACCGATACATATAAAATAAATGATTTTTTAAAACACCGGACACAAAATAAATGATTTCTAAATATACCTAACTAATTATTGCTCTTTCTTTTCTTTCGATTAGTATTTAATGGACAAAGTTGTACGATTGTGTCCTACATTATTGCATTTATTTGGTGATTTCGCATGCCATTAGCTTCATTAAAGTGAAATGAATTTTCCAAAGTTCCTTTGAACCTTGTAGTTCCTGATGGCCTTCCTTTAGGACGTCTAACTATATAGGATTTCCAATTTATTTTCTTGATCAATATCTGATGTTTGATTATCTACTTGACTTGATCCAATTCCTATGCTTCATAATTTTTATTGGTAATATATTCTTCAAGCAAGGTAATGAAAGTATCATCACAAGCCTTACTTGCTTTCTTAGCTAAAACCTGTACATTAGTATAATAATATTGTCGTCTAATCATTCGCAAAATTTAGAAATAAGGGGTAACGTTGGGTCCTAAAAATGGAGTCCTTCAAATTTTGAATAGCCGATCATTAATATCCAGAGTTAATTCCAATATGAACATCATGCTCATGATGTTCGTAACATTATACTAAA